ATTATACGTATATATTTTAACGTTCAGGACATATATTGTAATATTCCAACTGTATTGATGTAAAGGTGTCCCTCTGATGATGGTCTCTGAAGACCGAAACGTGTAAGGGCATAAATAATTGAAATAAGAAAAATCTTCACCAGTCACGCTGGACGGAACTGTTTAACTTTTCCTCATACTTAAAAAATTTCTAAATATTATGAAGGCAGCTTCTTCCTTCGAAACGTCGGTACATTTCTATCAGAAAACATAACGTCATATCGCAGAACACAAATATCTTAATGTAGGATTCGAGGCTCTCACAGCTGTGGTTATGAAGAATTCTATCTCTGGCATACAACGCCGTTAGTCCGTTGAAAGCCAGTAAACGTATGTTGAGACGACATGTCCCTCCGAAACGTCGGTTAACCCGGAATATAGAAATTTACTAATCACCGCTCTGAGAACTTCAACTCCTACAAAACAACCCCAAAGTCAGAGAAAAGCGGAACGTACAAGAGTTCTGTCTACTGGGATACAACACCGTTAGTCCGTTGAAAGTCAACAGACGTTTCGGAGGAACATATTGCCTCCTCTTTCAGGGTCGAAGAACAAGCTCAGCAAGAAACCCAGCGTGAAAGCAAATGACAAGCAATGCTGAATAGAGGCTACATATTCCTGCGAAACGTCGGTTGGCTATCAACGTGCTACATAGATCTGTATCTCAGAAGATAGAACTCTTATGCATTCCGCTTTTGTCTGACTTTGGGTTTGTTTTGTAGGAGTTGAAGTTCTCACAAGTGTGATTATTAAATTTCTATTTTCCAGGTTAACCGACGTTTAGGAGGAAAATGTTGTCTCCATCTTCATGGCCGGAGAATAAACCAAGGAAAAAACAAGCGGAGGCGACATGTTCTTCTGATACGTCGGCTGACTTTCAAGGGACTCTAAGAAGTTATACCCACGAAGACTGAACTGTTCAGCAATATTTATATTTACTGTCGTGGGACCCCCAGTTTCTTGTGTGCCTCTCCCCACTGTTCGTCTTGAAAGGTTTGAGATATAAGCGCTCAAGAAAACAAACATTCTTTTCTTCCTACCGAATGACAACAGCCGAAGGCGCTGTTTGTCTTCCTACGTCTGCTGTCATTTGAAGAGGTGGCACAACATATATCGCTGGTCCCAACGCCTACACTATAGGCACAACTCTAATGCTCGCAACCGAAAGTTCGGATGAGCGAAATAAAAAGCAATTTTTGTGTCTCAGACGAAAGGAAATATGCCACAAAACGTAATAAAACACGTCAATTGGAAAACACACACGTTACCCTTTCAGACTTTAACGTATTGTACAGAACATTAATATTAAGGAGACACTAAAGTATAGAAAAATCCTCGTCATATCGGATAAAATTTGGCGTGGCCTTAGGTTCTTGAAGTGAACTTATATGAAAAAAGTAAAGGTAAAAGAATCCCTAAGACAGACCGTGAGGGGCCCTAGAGTTGTGAGACGTCGAGGCTCCCACAATTTCTAGACAGTCGGCTCTCAGATGTCGGTAAGGTTGTCAGCCTTACGCACCGCCCGCCTTTTACCTCCAGGAAGATGCCTGGTACTCATTTCTGTTAGAGGCTGAGTCGACTTCAGGGCCACAGTCTGGCTGGAAGGATTGCGTCAATTGAAAAAAGTCCACCTCATCGGGACTCCAGAGAGCGACCTTCCAGCTAGTAGCAGAGTGACTCAACCAACTACGCTACTGCGTGCCCCTTCTTGTTCAGAACAGTTTTATTAATAAGCCAAAAAATCTTATGTTGAGAGCCATGGGAATATAGATTATAAATTGACTACATAAGCGGAGCCCTTGTTGAAAAGCTAATAGTAGCTCAGACAGTCAATACAATTCCTGCACCTTATGCACTCCGAAATTTCATTTATGTGTTCATAAGAGTCCGTAATCCAACCACTATGTTGACTGAGCTATCCAAAAGCAGTGTGATTTATAAATCCAGTCTGGACCCGGAGATATAGAAGTCCATGTTTCTGCAGGGAATCGAACACAGACTCAACTCTAATTCATGCCCATGACTTAGTCCTTACATTGAATGAGCTAACCAGAGACGGCATGATCAATAAATCAGGTCTGGTGGCTATGGTCTCTGCCCCGTCTGGAAATCGAACTGCGGTCGTTAAACCTATACACTAGGTTCACTAATTGGACCTGCACGGGTTATATTACAACCAGATCCGTGTCACTGTTACAGCAAAATGAGGGGATGTAATGGCCTTGTGTCCGGCAGTGCATTGCTTCGTGTACTGGTCAGAATATTTGCTTCAGAAACAGAGGATCCTGGTAGCTTCAGTCAGCAAGCAGCTTCTTTATGCATTGCCTCTAATTCCAAGTTCATAATATCTTACCAGTTCTGCACTGCCTCGTAAAAAATCCCTGTCTCTACATATAAAACGATAGTTATTACAGTCCTTTCCGTGTCAGTTACAAGAAGTTCGCAGGAGTGCGGATGGAGGCGCCACTTGACGCCTTGCCGTTGACCATACTAACGTATATGAGCCTGAACGCTTTGCTAGTGAAGAAAGAAAAATATATAAAACGTCAAATATACAAATACAGCCCATAAAAGAAATTCAAAGTTCACGGGAAAATTAAATACTTTCAACCTATACGCAAAAAAGCATATTTATGGAAAGTTATTTACGTGGAGGGGCTATAAAATAAGAGGATTGAATTTTTGCCCACTCCCTGTGGCCTTGGCAACAGCGAGCGGGGTGGCATGTCAGCCTGTCCTCTCCTCACTATCAACCCTTAAGACTTCCAAGGCCATACGGCCAAAAGTGTGGTAGCAGTCTTTGTCAGAAGCGAACCGTGTGTCTGAGCTCCGGGCCGAGAGTCCTCACTTCTGAGGTAAAGGAAACTCCAATGAACGTTTGTGTTGACAACCTTCAAACACTGAAAATGATCCAAAGTTTTAAGGGAATGTAATAACTCTTGATGAATCATGTTTCTTTTTCAGTATAACCCTAGAACTAAGCGCAAATCCATGCAGTGGAAGAGCCCCAAGTCATCAAGAACAAAAAGGCATGGAAGAGCAAGTTAAATTTCCAAGCAATGATGATTGTTTATTTCGATATCTGAGAAATTGTTCACATTGATTGGGTGTCTAAGGGTCAGACCGTTAACAAGGTCTACTATAAGGAGGTTTTGATAATCCTTCGTGAAAGGGCGAGAAAGAAATGCCATGAAATGTTGAAGAAGGGCTCATGGATTCATCAGCATGACACCGCGCCAGTACACAATGCACTGTCTGTCAAGATGTTTCTGCAAGATCAGAAGATCCCCATGTTGGAACATCCACCCTGCTCACCTGACCTGGCCCCGTGTGACATTTTTGTTTCCAAAGAACAAGTCTGCATTAAAAGGAGCCCTTTTTGGGTCTGTAGATACAGTGAAGGCAAAGGCAACGGCGGTAATGAAGAAGCTATCAGAAAAGGACCTGCAGCATTGCTTCCGACAGTGAAGAATTCGCATGGGGCTGTGTAGGGGTCGGGGAGGGGACCACGTTAAGGGTGATAATATTTCCATTGTGTGATTAGATGAATAACAGATTTTAGAGCATCAGTCCCGCTACTTTATAGCTGCTCCACGTACAATTTATTTCATAACTATGTCTGAAACTGGATATAAGCCCCGACTGCTGGTGTGACATATGAATAACGAAATTGCAGACGATACCGGAGGAAGCCGTTATCACTTAAGAAAGGCATAATCCCGGAATTTGCCTGAAGGTACTGAGGGAAATCACAAAACATCTCTCTATATCCATTATCCCAGCCGACATTCGAACCGAGTATCTCTAGAACAGGAGTATGGAGCATGGTTACACTAACCTAGTCCTCACAAAACATCTACAAAATGTGGGACAAACAATTAACAGGCTTAGTAAAATCACGCACTGGGAAATAGAGAAATTGGAAGACCAACAGCGAGATAGTCGTACCTGATTTAGGAGCTTGATCGAATTAATAAGGCATCAACTGTAAAATTTACCAAGATCTCAGCCTTCTGCAGTGTGAACCGTGTAGCCTGGTAGATACCAATTTTTCGGACTATGCTATATGGTGTTTTATTCGAGAGAAGTGTAATCAATATAATCGGTGCGTTGAGTATTTCACATCTCATATATTCCGTGGCCTGTAGTCCGCAAGCGAACTATACCGACCGAACGACCGTAGCTTCTCGGAGAAATTAGTGCCAAATTTTCCGGATAGAGGATGTCACGTGGTCAGGGCAACGGATCCCCACGGCCGTTAATTTCAGTTTTCTAGAACGGAGCCGCTATTTCCTCGAAATAGCTCCTCAATTATCCTCACGAGGCTGAATGGACCCCGTTCCTGACCCACTACTTCTCAGAAAATCTCATGTACTACATAAGAAAAACAAAGCTAACTTTTTGCTTAATTAAGCATTGTGTCATGAAGGTATGTGGGGAAGTGGAGTTATACCTCCATCATTCTTGATCTCAGCAATAGATAGAGGTGAGTAGTTAGTTTCACGCCCTAACCGCTTTACCCTCGGAAAAGGAGGCCCCGGTGCATGTTGGATAGGAGGCTGGGTGGGCCCCATAGCCGGTCTGGACACTGAGGAGAAAAGGAAAAATTGCCTCCTGGGAATCTAACCCCGACCGTCCAGCCCGTCCCTATACCGACATACTAGTTTATAGTGGTTAAGTAACTTTTGTCCTTTGATATATTTCTATGTATTTCTCCGAGAGCAGGACTGGTATCATAGCTCCGTAGCCTTGATAGTTCAGTTCAGTTCACTGTCATTACGCTCTGAGAACCACTGGGGGGGGGGGTCTGCAAAACATCTCCTGAACTAAACTGCAGATAACCATAAAGTCCATATAAAATATTTGAGTAAAACTTAGCGATTGCGAAATAATCAGTGACAGTACTGAAACCTAGTAAATGGACGCCATCGAAAACGCTGTCCAATTTCCATGGCTTGCCATACAATTTACCTAATACCCGCTCGATTTACAAAAATATACGTAAAGGAAAGGCACTTAAGATTGTACAGACTCTAAGATTGCGCAGTGGCATTTTCTTGTAGTTGGCAGCACTGCTGACTGGCGACATTCTGTCGAGAGATGAAGCTCGTGGGTTACCCTTTAACTGTGTGAAGAATTTTCCTGAACGTGGTTTAATAAAGATTTATCAGGTAAGAATAACAACTCATCAATCTTGATATAAATCTGAATATTAAGAAGGCAAGCTTTCTTGCAAAATGTAATAATATTTTCTTGGATATAATTATTCCTGTTGCAAGGTGAACTCATAACCTAAAATGTGAACTACTCGCTGTTTGCCTGCGTGAAGGTGTCTGCCAGCTATTGGCCAAAAGGTGTAACTTACGTAGATGCCTGTAAGACTGCGCTCTTGTGCGTGATCTTAGAGGCACAATTTCGCTTCGTAGAAAAGGTTTTAAACTAGGGTGTTCTTTCTTACAGACGTCTGTTCAAGCGCAATACGGGTTCAACATATTCCAGGAAATCGGACCGGAAACTGATATTTACTCAGGAAATCCTAGACGAAGCTAGAAACAGAATTGAAAACGGTGAAAGCCAAAGAAAAGCAGCTGCTTCATTGGGAACGAAAGAATCCACTCTGAGAAATAGATTGAAATTTGTAAGTGAGCACTATTCATTAAATAAGTAATTTAATATTTTATTTATTGTTTATCATTTGTTTATTTCTGTTATACTACATTTTAACTAAAGTTTATAATATTTACTCTCTGAGTAAATTATATAATTTATTCTTGCTTTAACTTACAGGGAACTGTACCAATTTCCCTGGGACGTCATAAGCCTGTGTTTACTCCTGAGGAGGAACGGAAACTGGCAGACTATTTGAGAGAGCTAGACAAGAGACTGTATGGCATTGCCAGGAAAGAGCTCATCAGTTCAGCGTACGAGTGTGCCGAAAAGAACAGAATTGAACACAGGTTCAACAGGACTGCGTGATTAGCGGGTAAGAACTGGGTATTGACCTTTTGCAAGGGGCAAAATCTAACGTCACGCACTCCAGAGAAGTGTAGTCTAGGGAGAGCAATTTCACTCAACAAAATCCAATATGAGCGATTTCATAATAATTTGGTAAGTGTGTGTGCTAAGAAAAAGCTTCCAGCTCATCGTAAATTCAATGTGGACGAGTCTGGTATCTCGGCAGTACCCAATCATGTCCCAAAGGTAATATCCCAAAAGGGAAAGAAAATCGTGTGCAAAGAGACATCAGGCGAGAGAGGGCAGAAGTAACTGCAGTGTGCTGCATATTTGTTCCTCCAGCTATGATCTTCGCAAGAAAGCGGATGAAACCAGAGCTGTTCACAGATGCCCCAGAAGGAACATTGCCAGTGATTTCTGACACTCGTTTTATCAATACTGAACTGTTCGTAGAGTGGCTAAAGCATTTCAGCAGCTTCGTGAAGCCAATGAAAGAGGATCCAGTTCTCCTGATACTGGACAATCATATAACTCTTCTGTCTTTACCACCGCATGCAAGCCACAGGCTTCAGCCTTTAGGTGTTTGCTTTCTCGGGCATCTGGAGGAAGCCTACTCCGAAGAGGCTGACAGGTGGCTAGTGAACCATCCTGGCACAGCAATTGCTCAGACCAACGTTGCCGGTATCTTCAGATCAGCCTACGAGAGAGTGGAAAACATGAAAATAGCAGTACGTGCATTAGAGACAACGGGAATTCATCCGGTTAACAGGAATGTCTTCTCAGATGAAGAATTTGCACCCTCAGAAGTGACATTCTGCCCCAGTGTGCAGGAGACTCAAGCCACTGCAGAAGACTCTCACGTTTTAGTGAACAATGAAAATGGTGATGAAGTATCCTTAACAGTTCAACCTGCGATAGTTGAGGAGCCACAAGTGTCATCTGCTATGATCTCACCATTACCGAAGGCAGTGCAGACGAAGAAGCTGAAGAGGACTGCTAGAAGTCTGAGGTTTTATCTTCCTCTCCATACAAGAACGCTCATCTAGCAACGAGGAGAGAGCCAAGCACTAACAAACGAGGCAGCAAAACTCTTCGTTACGACGGCCCTTCAGTAGCGTCAACTTGTTCTGCAGCTGCAGAAGAAGAGAAAATTAACTGTCCTGATTGTGACGAAGCCTATGAAGAGCCCATTACTGAGGACTGGGTGCAATGCAGTGCGTATAAACAGTAGTGGCATGAAGACTGTTCAAGCTACGAAGGCTTCGGACCCTTCAAATGCGACGTATGTTAACGCGCATTCATAAAGGACATGTTGCGCAGTTAGAGGACAGTGCCTGTAAGACTGCGCATTTGCCATTCGTCAAAAAATGTTCTTTTAAAGACAAACTATTTAATTTTTGTAACTCTTTTGATGTGTTTTGTATTCTTGAGAGTCGGGAGTTTTGTTTAATAAATGCAGTTTTTCATGGGTCCCAAAAAATGATGTGTTTATGGGCATAAATACATTAAGTACTTTTAGGCCAGATCTGTGCGACAGAAACTCCAGTCATCGTCATACTTGTACATCTGCCTCACATTCATCTGGTTCGCAGTGCCCTGCATAGTCGTCATGTTTCTACGAAATGTCCCCTTTTAATGCGGCGCGTTGTGCTCATTTCTTTGTTCTTGTACCAAAGTCTTTAGGTAACAGTCCACTGTGATCCTTGCGTAACGTTCCCAGAAGACAGTGAAGCTTTCGGATTGAAGAAATAGGAACAACTTATAAAGGGGCCCAGTTCAGGTTTGTCTGCGGGAACAGAGAAAGAAGGGCGATTACGTCATCATACCAGGCTGTAAACTCAGTATGAAAGGATCTGTACTGTTATTAGGAAGGATCATACCTTTTTAATCCTTTTCAGAAACATGTAGCATTTCCTATTCTGTCCACGTACTAAAAGAAAATCTCTCCGGATACAGAGCTACAGGGTACAACAAAAGTAATGCCAGGAATTCAGGCTTAGGAACGAATATAAATATGAAAGCGGTCTTTGCACTGTTATTTATGGACTGAAACAGTTATTTGTACTCACAAGCGAGAAGGTCTTTAAACGTGAAACACTTCATAAAGAACACTAGCTCCAGCCCTGCACAGATCCCAACTCTATGTAGTCGACCTCTTTATCAGACAGCCGGTAACATGTCTTTTGTAACATGTGTAATTGCTTTGAATTCGTCCGGTATATTCACTTTTTGCCTGCACACACAACCTCAAAGAAACAAAGTCTAAAGGCGTAGGAGCAGGAGAGAGAACACTGCAACTCTCTCTAAATTGTTCATACTGTCATCCAGTGCTCTTTTCATTACATAGTTCACACTACACTCGCGACTAATTTCACATTGAACTCGAATGATGGATTCAAGTTTTTCTACCACTGCAAGGTCTGTGTTTTACGTAACTGAACTGATAGGGTGGACAGAATGTGGTGTCCGTTAACTACAGTTTGGATGCGCGCGCAACTTATGTTAGTTGAAGCGCTTGAATTTATGGTCAGAGTAGAAGTACCAGTATCTTCATAGGTTTCTCTGTTCCTGCTTTTCAGATGTTTAAATTTCAGACTTTATTTTTCAGACTCTTTACAATAAACTTAGTAAAGTCGATATTTTGTGCTCCAACAAAAGGAAATAAGCCCTATGCTGACAGTGACACATTGTTCTAAACTCTCCGCTAGAATTTAAACCAGAAGAATTCAAGTAAATTATTTTAGTAACAATGTGCAATCTTTCTCAATCATTTACAGCAAAGTGACAGTAAACCGTTAAATTGTATTTAGGGATATAATGGCTGTTTTTTTTTTTTGAGAAATATACGGAAGATATCTAAGTAAATACATTGTGTGGCAGACTGCAGAGTTCTCTAACAATAAAACACATGGTACGTACAATAACTGCTGTGCTATGAAGTGTGAAGCAGAGACATGACGCAACTGAATATGATTTCTTCAGAATGTACGTTGCAATTGCGGAATTACAGTTGTCTGCTCGGCCGAGGATTGCGCTAGGAGTGTAGGAGTGACTGAGATGCGAATCGGTTTATTAGATTACACTTAAAAATAAAGTCTTTTATATCTGCTTGCACAGTCGTTGCTACGTAACAGACCTCAACAGTGGCTAAGCCTTGACAATCTGTTCATTGAATTATGCACTTCAAATATTACACATAAAGTCTTCTCTTCACAGGCGCCCCTACAGAACACAACCTGTGCCACTCCTCTACATAGCGGCTTCGAGTTCTTGACTCTTTCTCAGCTACGACTGATTCCTCGGTCTGAGTCAGTGGCAATGTGACTTTGACTTTGAAGGAGTACAATGGGCCGGTCACGGTAGCCGAGCGGTCTAAGGTATGTACCGTTTTCGCTCGCTTGGAAACCGGGATCGTGGGTTCGAATTCCACTAAGGGCATGGATGTTTAGTTTGTGTGTGTGCGTTTTTCTGTGTTTGTGTACAGGTAGAGGACTTGCGACGAGCTGATCACCAGCCCAAGGAATCCTACCGAATGTGTAAGATCTAGAAAAACCGAAGTGAACGGAGAAGTTCATAGTGGTAGGCCTAGGCCCACTGGGGCTGTAGTGCCAACGAAAAAAGAAAGGATTACAACGGAGTACAACGGAGTTTAATTGGGAGTCCGAATATTTCCCGTGGAATGTCCAGTCGGAAGAAGATGACAGTGCCATTCGATCATCAAATCCAAACCCCGTCTTATTATTCACGCAAATTCTGGATACGTGGCAATGCTAATGTAACGTAGCAATTATCCTACCATATTTACTCGACGCAGCCGGTCACGGTAGCCGAGCGGTCTAAGGCATGCACTGTCTTCGCTCGCTTGGAAACCGGGATCGTGGGTTTGAATCATACTGAGGGCATGGATATTTGTGTGCGTGTTTCTGTGTTTGTCTACAGGTAGAGGCCTTGCGACGAGCTGATCACTCGCCCAAGGAGTCCTACCGAATGTGTAAGATATAGAAAACCAAACTGAACGTAGTTCACGGAGGTAGGTCTAGGCCCACTGGGGCTGTAGTGCCAAGGGAAAAAAAATTCACTCGAAGCACAACGGAACTTGCTGACGCCTGTCACGTTAAATTGAACTGACTGTTGCAGGCGTCAGTTGCCTCTTCTTGTTGGACCGGGTAAGAAGAAAACATTGGAACATTTCTTTTCCTAATCTTCACGGTGGGCTTACCACTCACGCTCAACACTAACAACAACGTTAAAATGCGGATAAAAGGAAGTGGCAAGCTGCAAAATAATGAAAGTGAGGACAGAACAGTGCAAAAGTTTACAGGCGTAATAGTGGTAAACAAAAGACACTGATGTAAAGACTGTGAAAATAACTGCTCCTGCAATCAAGGAGAGCTGTGAGGGAAGGGGGGGGAGGGATGGATATAGTTAGCAGGAGCAGATGAAATGAAGTAGAGAGGAACGCAGGAGAAAATTGGGGATAAAACAAAGGTAATAAAGTTTTAGATTTGTCCTTTAAATTGTAATGAGAATTTCCTTAGTCTCATCATGAAATTAATTTCTATTTGCTATTATTTTTGTTACCAAACTGTTGATATCGCCACGTGATAGAGTGACTATAGACGGGGTTCAGATGGGTAATTAAATTGATTGGACTCTTATGCAAATCGTGACTCATTCATTCATTCATTCATCAATGGTTCCACATCTCTTTGTTGGGCCCTGGCATCTTCAGTTTCCTAATTATTTCTACACAGACCCTTGGACGGCGATCAGCCCGTCGCAAGGCCATTACCCATGCAGAGGACAACATAAAAACAGAATTAACGTACACACAGACATCCATGCCTTGAGTGGGATTCGAACCCACGATCCCAGCTTTCGAACGAGAGAAGACAGTTCATGCCTTAAATCGCTCTGTCATTGCGATCGGCTGGAACTCGTAACTATACTTTATAAATCACTATCACACACACTTCTTTTTATTGTCATGATTTTAGTAGCCGTTGTTCGGTAGCGGCTCCAAGGCTGAAATTCTCCTTACTCTGTGTTCCCGAAATATCCCCCGTACCTCAGCTACTAGATTTCCCCCACTCTAGCCGGTGTGCGTTTGGCAAGGTTTTCAATGTCACTGATCAGTTTATGTACCTGTTGTGCTGCAGAAGCTGCTTCTGTGTATCCATTCGCTATGGCATGACGTTCAGATTTCAGCGTTGATCAAGTCAAAATCGAAGTCAAATCACATTGCTGCTGACGGTCGGTTAGTCTGTCTGTCTTGGTGTCAAGCCCCAGCTGGGGCTCATGACCAGATGTTTATTCTTATATGAAAGTTACCGTCCTGTCCATTTGGGGCGCCCTCTCTGACGAGAGGTCGGGTCTGTCATTTATCAGTCATAGCCTGTATTAGTAAGTCCATTGTCAGTATTTACATATATTTACAAATTTAATCTTAATTCCTATTTCTATGTAAAATATATATAAGGCCTCTGTCAATCCAGGCTCAGTACAGCAGATTATGCCCTATTTCTAGTAGTATTCGCTACAACGGCAGTCTAGCCACTTGGACGGTCGTATGCCTGACCGCCTCCAAGTTTCTGTGTCGGGCTTCTCCTTGTCCAATATTGTTAACATTTTCGTTATCATGATTTTGTATGACTTCCGCTTGTTGCCTGCATAATACGCACAATAGCTCTCAGCTTTGATTTTATAGCTGCGGCACGGACGGCATAGAAAACGCAGTTCTACTGTTGATGAAGTAACTGTATCACGGTCTGATACGGGGAAAAGTGTTTACCGAAACGTTGCCTAGAAACGGTTTTCATAACCGAGTTGTTCTACTGTTACTTGGCGCAGACCGCATGGAAAACAGTTTCCACTTTTTTTTTTTGACCTGTCCAGCAAGGGAGGCCCTGCCGGTAGCTACGCTACCGCTGGTATAGCTCTCAGGGTCCTTGGCATACTCAAACCCCCTCACCACGATAAGGTGGAGACACCAAGGAGGGGGGTTTCCACTATACTGTTGCATATCTGGAAGAGTTTACTGATCCGTTGCCTAGCAATATTTTGAAGAAATCTTTTACAGTGTTTTGGCTACCCCTGTTGTGATGTGTCAGAGATGATGACATAATCTGACACGAGTTCTTAGAGCCGGTATACATTTCACATAAACATGAATGCCTCTTCGCATCTCTGATATATATCATCTGCTCCCCACGCAGATGTGAGTTGATACTAAATTATTATCTTCATAAAGGAACTGGAGCGTGCCATAAAAACGTGAATCTTTCTGAGCTCTTCCGAACACGCCATGTTTTCATCTGTCAGCTCACTTCAGGCTCTGAGTTGGGATAGCGTTCGAGACCTGTATTATCGATAAACCTCGTTAGATTTTACATCGAGATATCTCGATCTTGGTCTCAATACTTAGCCAGTATCTTCAAACAGGCCAAGACAAATTCCGTACAAA